GCACTGCAGTCAGTTGCATCCAATCCTCAGCCAGTACCTGCTGATTTCCTGCTAAGTGCCTCCTGGCATCGGTGCCAGTACAGACCACAGCAAGCCTTTAAGTCATCACAATATTTCTTTGAGAAAATGTCTTAAATGGACAATTCCTCTACAAGACCATTAAAATAGGACTCAGAAAAGATTAACTACCACTGAAAAGCCTTGAATCTGAAGCATGCCGAAAATCCCGCCTCAAACTCCATGGGCTATCTTACTGTCCCCCACCCCCGCTTATTGGGTAACTATGGATTTACAGACAAGCCATCCTAAACATGTACCATCCAGAGAACATGGATGAAAATCACTTATCTCTGGCCCTGCGGTCCCACCTTAGGGCGGCCCTTCTCTCACACACCCGGCCCAGCCCCCGCTGCTTTCCCTGGCGAGACAGCGGCTGCGCCCGGCTCAGGCTCAGCTCTGCTTGCCTCACCTCCCTGTTTGCACGGTAGTTCCTTTGACAACGCTCACTGGGTCCTAAGGATGAAGCCATTCCCTGAGAGGCCTCAGCTGCTCTTCCACTTGAACCACACCAGTCTAAGCCCGCTTCCTCAAACAGTGACGCGGTTTTTTATTGCGCTCCAAACTGAGGTAGCCCTCCATTTTTTACAATGATCTTTTATTCCTTGTTTACCCTCCCGCACAAGCACGAGTCCCACTCAGTGGGAGGCCATGCAGGACTCGGCCTCCCCGCAGCCTGCACGCCTGCCGCGGGCCTGTCCTTGCCCACCTGGGCGAGCTTTCCACACCTGGAGCTCCTTCCTGGGCTGTCGCCACCAGAGGAGTCACTTTTGCCTCCACGCAGGGTTTCCCTCCCACCTCCTCCAACCACACCCCCGCCCCCCACCCCCAGATGCAGCCTGGACACCCTGAGATGCCAAACAGGAACTGCTCCCCTCACTGCGGAAGTGAGATTCTCTTTCTTGTCATGAGTCACACAAATAAGCACAGAGTGGAGTCCCATCTTCTAAGCAGTTGAGTTCTGCCCTCCATGAGGAAGGCAAAAACCGTAAGTTGTCAAACTGACCCGTAGCCCACGCAGCCCCAGGCTCTGGGGTTTGTGAATACAGTGCTGTGGAGGGATGGTGACAAAGTACAGTGATGTCATTGGAGTCTCACTCACAGGACAGATGCAAAATCCAAGTTTATAGTACTTGCAATTAAGGGAGGGTGGGGTGGAGAATGACATTTATAAAAGAATCCACTCAACCCACACAATGCCAGGACGGAAGTGGGGGGGCTCGCTCCCACAGGTGGGGAACTGCAGAGCCATCCCTCCCATCTGGCACGGCCACGCTTGAAACTGTGCCCCCTCCCCCTGGCTTGCCCTGGAGCACCGGTAGTTCAGTTCTCCTAAGTGAAATGCAGGCCAGATGGAAGTCCCCTGAATGTGTGTGCTGGAATCGTCTGCTCTGGAGGGCGAGGAACCCCACTGATGTTTATCGTTTCCTAAGTTGTGCATCTCAGTCTCCAGGGCCTTGAGCTGCTTCTTTCAGGGACCTGGGTTACCAAATAGTTAAACAAAGGAAGGCCCTATGTGCAGCACAGGTGACCGACAGGGTTCCCGCTCCAGACCAGCCGAAGCAATTAAATGTGTGAACCAAGCTATTTATGCGTTTCGGATGTAAAAGTAATGGCCTTGCTAAGCAACTGAAAATAACATGCCTTGAACACCAAGGCAAAGGCCCATTCTTCTCTAAAATAAATGGGCGTTCTCTCCTCCTAAGTAGAAAACGTCACCAGCTCAAAAAGTGAGCCCAGGACGGGCTCTGGCAGGGACAACCTCCTGTGAGGTGGCACAGGCCCCCGGACAATGGCTGACTGTGATTGATTAGTGCAGAGAAATTTGGAATTGAACTTTACTGTTGGGACTCACCTGCATTTGAAAGTAGTGCAGTTAGTAGTCCATCTTTCAACACTGAATGTATTTTCTCCACTTTTATATCTTTCTGATGAATTAAGGGCTTATGTAAGGTGAGGGATTGAAAACATTAGCAGCTGACTCTCTTTGTGGATCTGCTTGCCAGACATGGCTGGATGGAAAAACACAGACACCGATTTTAAATGGTTTCTCTACCAATTCCTATCAGCTGTGAACTCGGATGCTTACCTGGTTCTGCAGTGGGTGGCTGATAGGAAGTCCTTGCCCTCCAGTTGGCCAAGCCATTTTGAACCAGGTCTGCTAATTGAATTCAGTTGTTTGCAGTTTTAAATGTTCCATGTTTTCCACAGAGCAAGAATATATTAAAACTCATTTCATCTGTCATCCAAGAAGAATTGGAGCCTGCATTTTTATTACCAACTGGCTTGTGTTTACCTTTATACTAGATTTTCTTTGCATGTGTTTACAATGTAATTAAAAACAATCAAGTTAAATAATTTATTTGAATTGGTTCCTTTTGCAGAAGATTAAGGAGGAGAAAAGGTGCCTACAATTACATCATTTTTGCTGAGTGTTTCTGCCTTCCCACACAGAAATACATGGTGTATCTGGTCACCAAGAGCATTTTGTAATGTCACTGGTGATTTAACAATCACAAAATACTGTAATTAAATGTTCGAATGCTCGCTTACGTTTTCCCATTACAAATGATCATGGAACTTGATTAATTGCAGCCTGTTTACAAAGGACCTGCTTTGGTAATATCGGTGCCTGCAACGCACACCTCCAGGGAAAACGATGATCTGAACCCTGAAGTCAGAACCAATTAAACTCTTGCATTCTCCCCACTGCAGCCCTGAGATGAGCCGCATTTTTCAGGCCTGGCTCAAGCAGGCTTGGCAGGTCTTGGAGGGCTCGGGGCCTCTGGGTGTTGCATGCCTACTGCCAGCTATGCAAAGCATTCCCAAGGAGCAGGGCAAAATAGGGAAGAAAAATTATAAACCCACAAAGGCCGTGGCTGCAGTGCACAATGTCGGGTGGCCCTGCCCAGGAGCCCAGGAGTTGGATAGTTGGATGGTCACAGAGACGTGGAGAGCCAAGCAGTTGTGGAGCAGAACACGAAACCTCCGTATTAAATGGCAGAAGGGGAGAAAGGCCTCCAACCAACCTAATTTGCCTTGGGCCCGATTGAATGCAAGAGCAAATCTGTAGATCAGCCGTCAAGAAATTAGCAAGCAGAGGCCAATGATCAAGCCTCCTGATTTTTAAAGTGAGTTTTAATGGGTCCCCAGGCAATTTATGGAGACAACTTTAATGTGCTGACTTTCTCCTCTAGAGAGTGGAAAGTTGTGTAATTTCGCTCTGTCTGACTTTTTCCTTGACTTCGGTATTAAATAAACAAACAACAACAACGACCCAAATCTCCAGGATAATTAAGATCCAGCAAATGAGTTGTCAAAGAAAAGCGTGTCCTCTTCCCAGGGCTGCCGGCAGGCTGTTTGCTTTAGAGGATCCAAGGCGCTCTACCTCGCCCAGCAATAAATGCAAACCCCAAATTGGCTGTCCCGAATGTGTGGGTTTGTTTGATTTTGTTTTGTTTCGTTACAAAGGAGATTGTTTATTTTTTTCATTTTCCTCCCTGAAAAGTAGGAAGTCTTTGACATGCAATATAGAGGCCACCCTCTTTAATCACCCCTAATTTATAAAGCAACTGGGCTGGGGTTTACAGCTTCAGAGATGAGATGTGTGGGCAAGGCCACGGTCATCAGCCTGAAGGAGGCTGGCAGCCCCGGCCGGTTCCCTGACCGCCAGGCCCCACCCTGCTCCCAGGTGCAGCGGTACCCTCTCCGCATCACCGGCACCTTCTCTTCTCTCCTGCTCCTCACACCAGCATATGACCATGTATTAATAAATCAAGATGAGCCCAAATCCTTCTGGACATTTCTCCAAAGTTCTGCAAAGACTGGTGTTTTTAAAATGTGGTTGGAGCAATAATTGGCTAATTCTTTCTCATTAATGCTGTCTCCTTATCTGCCGAACTGGGCACGCAGCGCACCCTTTGTACGTACAGGAGGGTGTCCCGTGTGATGTCCTGACCCTTCCCCAGGCGGCCGTCGGGCTGTGCACCAGCACCACTCCAGGGGTGGCGGGGCCACCGCAGGCGCCCTGTGCCGACCGGAAACAGCCTGTCCTGAGCACCCGGGGTCCGGGCTGGCCGTGCTATTCACCTCCCCCACCCCACCTGTCTGAGCTGTGGTGCTGGAGGGTTCCAGAGAGACCCCGACCCAGTCATGTGGTTGCCCGGTCGTCCCTTGTCTAAACAGAGACTGCAAAAACCCGTCGATGGCCAGGGCAGGAGGAAGACAACCATTAGCCAACGAGGAGGGTGTGTTTGGGGATCCAGGAAAGGAAGTCAGGGGAGGCCCCCGGGTGCTGGCAGGGCTCCCCGGGGCGCATGGGAAGGGCTTGGTCTTGCCGATTTTGTGTTCCCAGACGGCATCTCCAGAGAAGTAACTCAGGTCTCCCTGAAGAGCGAGCCTGGAGAGAGAGGCCCACCCCAGGACCAGAGCTCCTGCTGAGTCAGCCCCAGTCAGCCCCGCACCTGTCCCCGACAGGCACCACTGGGCACAGCTCAGGGTCTCTGGAATGGGAAAGCGTTGGATGCCCAGGAGAAAAAGGCCAGTTTAAAAGGAAGCCAGCATGGAAAGACCCTGAGGAGCTCGTAAGGCAGGGCCCCAGGGCCAAGCCAGAGTCTTCTGGGCCTGGGCTGTCCCTCCTGCTGCTCTGTGGCCCGCGGGGCGTAGCCACGGCACACTGCAGGGCTTGGCCGTGTTTTCTGAATTGAGGGACACTGGCACTAAACCCGATTCTCTATCTTGGTGCCTCGGTTAAAAATCCCATTACAACTTCGACGTCCATCGGATTGATGACTGGAGAGGGCTGGATACCCGGATACGTGGCAATTGAGCTGTTTGAGCCTGCCCGCCTCCCTCGCCCAGCCATCCCCCAGCCTGGGCTGGCATACGCTTAAAGCCCTGGCCTGGGCTGAAACGTTCTTGCTGGCGACTGCGGAGATAAAACAGGATTTAAAGGCAATGCATTTTCTACCACGCAACCTTATCTGGATTGACTGCTCTGGGTTTTCAGCTAAGTGTGAATGTGAAGGATAATTACTATCGTGTGTTACCTGAGATTACAGGGTTGTGTTCCGACTAATGACACCAGGAGAACCAAGCAGTTGTTAATATTTAATCAGTCTCCTGGCTTAACAATTGGATAAATGAGGTGTGTAATTACACAATTATAACAGACATTTCAGATAGGAATGGTACTAGTATTGATACTGAAGGTGAAACCTGGTAGAAATACACCACCAGGTCATTTCAGAAGTATTAGCAAAGAAGACTCTTCGAGGAGGGTCTCTCTTATGAAATTATAAGTACAGATCTTAAATTCTTTTTCAATATGGACTTTCCTCCTCGGGGGCTTTCAGTAGTGAACATTGGGCCAGACGTTTTATTGACATCACAGGTACGATCACTGGAGTATTTAAATGGGCCCCAAGAGTCAAGCTCCAGAATATTCTTCATCGCATTCTAAAGGTGAGTCATGTTTAGTGGCTCTGTGTGCTGGTGGGTTTTGCTTGTTTGATTTTTTTTTTTTTTTTAATGTTTTATTGACATCTGACACTAAGCCAAAACCCAGGACAGTGACCACCAATGCCTCCTCCTCTGGGTCGTTTCTACATGACCCACCCCCCTAGTCTATGCCTCCGATCCCCGCGCTGGGTGGCCCCTAACAGGGGAGCCGCCCGAGCTGTCTCTGCTAGAAGGTGTTATTGGCAGTCACTGTGTGGTCCAACCAGACATCCTAGTTCCTCTCAGTTGCTCATAGCTTCTCAGCAGAAAATGCCGTTTTCTGGTGAGGGTCCCGGGAAGCCAGCTATCTGAGTGTTCATCCATGGCCAACGCCTGGAAAACACAGTCAAGAACTCATTAAAAGCATCTGGCACAGTTCAACACCCAAACCCACGCTGTTACCAACCAGGATGACGGCAGCTCTGTGGCAGGAACCTGAGTGAAACATGTGGAAGGTATTATGGGCAGCCCCACATTGCTCCAGGGTCATTTGTCAAAGCTGCAAGATGCCATTCTCCCTCTGCTCCATTTGGTGACCATTCTGAGAGTCACTGAATTCACCTGTGCCCAGGGATGTATTGTTAGCAGCTAGGAATACCCATCTCCGCCTCCCCAGTCAGGTCTCCCCAAGGTTTCACAGCCTTCTTTTCTTTCTGGGCTGAAGAACCATTTTTAAGAAACCTCTATTATCCCTCATCGGTCTAGCAACATCCCTCAATATCCAAGTCCAGCCTGTTGGCATGTGCCCTGGTGCTGGCAGGAAGCAGGGCCCCCACCATGCCCAAGGTTCCGAGGTTCCGAGGGCGAGTGCCACAGCTCTGCACGGACCACGAAAGGAAAGGAGTCCAGAGACAGGAAGTCTCGGCTCATTTTGCCATTCAGTGGTCACCCTCTCTCTGAGGGTGACTCCCCCAGTCTCTCTAGAGAGAGACCATCTCCCTGTGCGCTGGGACCCCAGTGCCTCCATGAGGTGGGATGAATGGCTCAGGCGCCAGATAGATCTGGGTTTGGATTCTGGCTCTGCCACTTACTCTCAGCACGAAGCAGGGAGTGAGTCCCCTTCCTACGCCTCTACTCCCTCAGCTGTAGGATGGGGTCACCCTGCAGCATCAGAACGGTGTGGGGAGGGGAGAGAAACCTGGCCCCGTGGCCGGCCTCTGGAGATGCTGGTTCTCTCCGCCTCATTCTGGCGTGCGTTAGCGATCGCTGCTGCTGCTGCTGCTGACCAGGGGCTTCCAGCTCTTACCGCCATTCAAGCCACAGTAAGTACTTAGTGAATACTAGTAATAATTCTCAGCTTTTTAGCTTTTTATGGTGGCTTCTATTGCTTTTCTAAGTCAGAACTTCACATTTTACCATCTCATTTTAAAATTTGAGTGTACATGCCTATTACGAACTCCTATACCTATAGGTTTGCTGAACAGAATGCATGACGACGTCATGCCCGCTCACTGGAGGACCAGTGGAGGCGTACCAGCGATGCTGTCTGTGGGCAGGTGACATAGGCTGGGGTTACTGACACCCAGGGTTCAAGCAGGTCCTGTGACATCCTCCCCTGATCCAGGCTCACAGAGGACACATACCATAAGCAAATCCAGCCAGAACAGGCAGATCATCAAACGTTTGCCGTTAGAACCATCCAGTTCTGTATGAAAAGAAAAACGTTAAGCAGAGACTCAGGGGCCTGGATTGGAACATCTCTTAACACATTTTCACTGAAGTCCTTGTGGATGCTAGGGGAGAAATATTTAAATCATAATAATCATTATTAACTAGTTGGCAAAAGTACGCAGGTGAAAGCTACCACTGCCTAATGGAGATCTGAGTTGCTGATAAGTGCATTTATGCAGTTCTTTTTTAAAAACAAAAGACTCCTTGGTGTCTCTGGGTTTCAGGTAGAGGCCTGACCGAGTGAGAAGGCCAGTGGGAAGCGGGCGCCAATGTCTCTGCGATGTGCCCTCTTCGTCCCCTCTCCTCCAATCCCACCTCTCCCAGGCTCAGACCTCCTGGTCTTTCTCACCCGGCTGGTGTTGAAAGGCAGTTCTCAGCTAAGTAAATAGCGCTGGGAGGAAGCCAAGGCTCTTGGAAGTGAGTTAATCCTTTCCCCATCAAAATCCCCAACAGCAATCTGGGTTTGTTTAGCTGTTCGGTACTGGTGTTCGAGTGCTTTTTCATAAACACGGAGGGAATCACTCACGTGGGCAATGTCCAGAGTGGCCATCACCACCAGGCACGAGGTCACTCTTGCTCCTAAGGGATGGTTGCCTTGTTCCCTTCCTATGAGAAGCTGGCCGTTACTCTGCATCGTCTGCCCATCATGGTGCACACGTGCCTGTTATATGAAGTCTCCTCAGCAAGAACAGCGTTTCTCCTGATGCCTCATACTTGCTGGCCTGCAGGCCTCTCTTGAGTTTTGGTCTCTGGGCCAGCAGGGGCCTCAAGAGGGGGTCCAGGGCCTGAACAGTCTGAGCGCACCATAGGGCCTTCTGTTGCTCTTCTCTTTCCCCTTGAGGCTCTCACGCCACGCTTTCACCCGCTGTTATCAGACCTGAGGTACCCCAGCATCACCCACGTGCTGCGTTAGAGTGGCCGTCACCTCTGTTGCAGGTAGTCATCCGTCTGCCCACTTGCATGCAGAAGGGTTCCTGTTAGGGGCTTTGAATGGGGCTTTCCAGACCCAATCCCAAATTGGGTGCCTCTCCCCCAACAAACAGTTCCAGAACATCAGCTCGGTGTCCTACGATTCAGGTCAATGTTGACATTATCTACATGAAGACAACACCAGATCCCACAAGGAAAGGGCTCAGTCCGTAAGACTGTCCCCTCTTCCCCGCCCCCAACCCCCACCACACACACTTCAGAAGCCAGATGCAAGCCCAGACTCTTACCTCTGCTTCTGACCTACTGGCTATAGAAGGGAGGTTCCAATGACGCCCAACTCAGAACACCAGTCACAAGTCCAGGTTGTCATCTGTACTTCTGACCAAGTGGCTATAAATCAGAGGTTCCCCTACCCCTTCCTTGGGTTGGATTAAATTGCCAGAATGGCTCACACAACTCAGAGAAACATATTGCTTACTAGATTACAGATTTATTACAAAGGATATTAAAGAATATGGCTTAATAGCCAGATATATATAGCGCCAGGTCCCGAAAGAAGGAGCTTCTGTCCTCGAGGAGCTTGAGCGCTGGCACGGTGCACGTGGACATGTTTCTCGCCGCCCCCCCCCCCACATGGAAGGTCTCCAAAAGAAAAGGCCAATGAGCCATTCTCCTGGTTTTTAAGGAGGTTCATCACATGGCCATGATTGGCTAAGTCACTAACTATTGGTGATTGTTTCAAACTCCAGCCCCTTTCTCCTCCCCAGAGTTCAGGGAGGAGGGCTGAAATTTCCAACCCTCTAATCCTCTAATCACCAGGGTCGAATCCATTGACCAGTAGGTGCCCCACCCTTAGGTGCTTTCCAAAAGTTACCTTATTAACATAACAAGAGACACCTTCTTTTCCCCCCCCCCCCCCCCACATTCTCAATGCTTAGGAAATTCCAAGGGTTTGGGGAGCTGTTAGTCCGGCAATGTGGAGGAAGACCAAATATCTTGTAAATCACCACATCTCAAGCTTGCACTTTGCCTGGGGAGCGGGGAGCAAGAAGCAGAGAGAGGTGGTTTGCAAACACTCCTGCGAGCTCTCTGCTGAAATCTCAAGGGGCAATCGATTCTTCGGAGCAGCAGCGAGAGCCCAGACCGCACAGTGAGCATCCTCAGTGCAGCTCTGGGGCTCCTCGCCGAGGGGATCGGGGCACCAGAGGAGGTGCCAGAGGCTGACCACAGGGGCACAAATACATGCTCAGCTAAAAATGCAGATGCTCCAAGGATGCAGCCTTATACATTTCAGCAGATAAGGCACCAGAGAACTGACATGCTGCCTAGTTTTACACCACCTCCTAGATATTTTGTTTGCACTGCACTGAAACATTCACTGTAATGTGGACTCGAGTAGAAAGATTCATTTGCTATGAATCCCAAGAAGGAATTTATCTGCTGGGATAGAATCCCCCAGGTCAATCAAGGGCCCAAATTTTATCAATAATAAGAGGCTGGTGGTCCTTTCCTGAAAAGGGCTCCTACTGGACTCTCTCCACCAGAAAGAACCTCACCCAGAAATCTCCTCGTCCATTATATGCCCCGCTTGTTTATGCCGTTTGAGTCAACCACTGCAGGGAAGTTCTGGTTTCCTCTTTCTACTAAAGGACTGAGACCTGCTCTGTCCAATCAAAACTGCATGATTTGGATACTTCAGTTTCCTACAACACACCTGAGAACCTGGGCGGGAACTTCCGCTGTAAAGGGCAGCCTCCCCTAGTGAAATAGCGTAAGTCGCTGCCTGAATCTGTGTCGCCTGGGCTGCAGCGCCTTTGACTCCAATAAATGCTTATTCTTTACTACTGTCTAAAATTAGTTTTGATTTACAACAGCAACCCCTGCATTATTTATACTCCTTTGGACTCAGACACTTCCTGCAAAAACCTACCCTGTTGCAAGGCAGGGACAAAGGGAAGAACTGAGGAAGGGAAAGACGGAAATAACCAAAGTCACCTTGAAACTCACCACAGAGAATCCAGGCTCTGCCCTGTTGATGGAGGGCTGACGCTTAACCTGGAGCATTCAGTTCCCAGGCTCTGGCTCCTTCCAAGCCTCTTGTTTCCCTCCTCTTTCCCCACCTCCTCCTTCTCCCTCTTTCCTCACCTTCTCTCCGAACCCCTCTGTCCTTTCCCATGTCACTGCCTCGGTCTCCTGTCCCTCTGTCTTCTTTAGAGAATTCTATACTGGAAGTTGGCGATGGTGGCCCCTCTCATGCACGACGTGACTGAAAGCCTCAGATTCTTCACCTCAAAATGAAATTCTCGGATGGGGTTCTGCCTAGATTCCTGCCCATCACCATCCTCTGCAGGAACTACCCCATTCCTTCACGGGCCCCTAGCTTTTAAAATATGTTTACGAGGCAAATGTTTCCAAGAACTCTAGAAAAGTAGTAAATCCCCCAACTGCCAAAAGAAGCTAGAAACTCTTTTTCTGCTCTTTGGTAGAAACACTTCACTGCTGTAGTTAAACCACCATTTTTCTTCCCAGGCTGGGCTGTCAGCGCCAGGAAGCTGCGCTTGGTTCCGCTGCACCACTCTGTCTGGTGGCCTAGAACATGTCCAGATAAAACAGCTAATGCACGTCTACTGAGGAACAGAGGGACCTGACCAGGATTTGGATCAAGTGCACCAGCCTCTCGCATTTGACACAATGTCATGCATTTGAGATGCAGTTCGTCACACAAAATGCTGTGTCGAGGTCCTGTGTCTGCACTTGTGTGAACTTGAGAGAATCAAGTTCCGTGAAAAGGGGTAACAATCAGAGGAGTTTGCTTATCTGGCCTTCCATTACGGGCATCACTGTGCCGTTCCCTGGGCAGGGCCACATGGAACGCACTCAGCAGAAAGGGACAGCATCTGCAGAACATCCTCAGAACTTCCAGCAGGAGTTCATAGCCACACTAGCAAAGTTAGTTCTGGGCTTTGCTTTAAACGCTTCCTCAAGCTTTCAACCTCGAAGACCTCAAACAGGGGGCAAGTGCTTAGATAGGGTGTCCTTTTGAAATTTTCCAGGACTTGGTTAATGATAAATGCAGCTATAGTGAGTAATTGTGAAAGCAAGTCTTTCTCAGATGCATGTTATTGAATGTTTCTGCTCTAGCCTGTTGGAGTTTGTTTCCAAAAAAATACCCCAAAATATATTAATGGAAGCAAGTCTCTGAATAAAAAGGTCAACCCCAAACTGCATTTAATCAAATGCAGTCACTTTCCACACTGGAGATGTAGGGCAGGCCCAGAGAAGGGGGAAATGGGAAAAGTGAACTAAGTTGGCAGAAACAAACCATTACTAAATCCAGCTCATTTCAGTAAAAACAGGCATGAGAGCAAAAGCAAGTTTTAAAGCTGAATTCTTTCAAGATGACTCAGGGGTCGTCTCTCTTATGCCAATTTTCTGTTTGTTTTTTTAGATGAATGAATGGAGACCCACAAGATGAGTCTAATCTTGAGCAAGGAGTACATCTGACACACCACAGGAGCATAGCATTCAAGGGGACTCTTCACCCAAACTTAGACAAATATTTGAATGCATTTTTTGGAAGGGTGATAAAACCCCATTGGTCTATTTTATACTGCTTTTGTGTAAGGGGAATGGGGGAGGAAATGGGATTTGAAAATAAAACCATCTACTTCAGAGATGTGGGTGATAAAAGAATAAATTTCTCTTTCAGGACTCTCTGAAGTTAGAAAGTATAAATTACATACACTCATCAAAACTTTTCATGTTAAATTCAAAGAGTAAAATTAGAAGCCATGTTAATAATCCAACCATGCAGCAACTGGCTGACAGATGCGGCAGCCTTATGGTTAAGAGATTACATGGTTTGAGCTGGCAATTGACTGTAAGTGTCCCTGGCAGAGAGGACGTGTAGCAAACATATTATCAGACACAGAAAACACGCAGCCCCGGAAAGAGGCAACACGCAAAGTGAACTGCCTGCAATGCTTTCGAAGCTGCACATTTTCCCACTAAACTGCTATTTCAGAGAGCTGAAGCGTTTATTTTCCCCCTTAAGAACGAAGAGTTAATCTCCAAGTTCAGAGCCAGAAACCTGTCATATTAAATCTCAGTGAAGACCGACATTCTTTCCAACTTCCCTACTCACAGTGTGGCTGAGTTTTCCAACGATCCACAGGCTAAGTAGCTGTCATACAAAACAGAGCCATTCATCACAACCGTGGGGGTCTCTGGGATTCCAAGCTGGGGACCTCTTTCCTGGCACGCGGGGCTCCCTTTGGGAGAAAAAGCCTGGGGAGCGCAAGGGGAAAAGCCGGAAAGGCCAGGAGGGGCTGGGGAACGGGGGCTGTCCTGGTTTACACAACACCATGAGGTCACAGTTTTAGTCCCCTGCAAAGGCGTCAAGCACCCTGGTAGAAAAGTGTCCCAGGCTTCAAGCCTCAGAATTTGATTCCTACCCCTCAAAGCTGCAAATCACTAAAACAAGGGAGAACTGTGAGTGAGCCGAGAGGGGGAAGCCGTTTCCATGGGAGGGAGAGAGGTGCCACCAGGATCCTGGTGGGGTGAGGGTTGGGCAAGCTGGCTAACCTGGTCATTTTCATCGTGTTCCCTTAGATGAGCAGGAGGGGCGGGTATGAGACGATGCTGCTCGGTCTCCGTTTCCAAGTCCTCTCTCTTTACGCATTGCTTGCAGCCATTTAATCCTCTCTTTCGGGACAGCTGGTTCCACTGTTTTTCTGGTTTCCAGGGTGTGTCCCGTGGGTAACCCAGGGTGGGTGGAGAAGGGAGGCCATTCTGAAACATTCTTGTTTCAGATGCAGCTGCCTGCTCTCAAAGGGGACTTGTGGATTTCAAGAAACCAACCACAAATCAAAATGGGGGCGGGGGGAGACTTAGCTCCCACACCCCACAGAGGCTTAGCTGAGGTTAGAAATGTTTCAACAGAAAAGTGTCCCTAGTGGCCGGTTGGTGAATACCTGGCTCAGCCTGACAACAGTGCTCGTGAGAATGGCCACAGCGCGCCGGGCCTGAGCTGGGCACTGGGCAGAGGGCATATGTCTGTCAGGCCCTGTGGCCCAGTAGCTCACAGTCTGGTGGCGAGACACACACAACACTGGAATGTTCTACCTGTTCTAAGCTCTGTAAGGCAAGG